GGCAAATGTCTGCCAGAAACATGTGCACAGCATCACAAGCACAGGGCACTCTCTGTGAGTGTTGAGATTTTGGGGGAACAAAGGGGAAATGCTGCCACATGCTCCCCTCTAACCATGCAGCTATTTTGTACTTGTCCCCCTATGCCAGTGACCTCAGATGTGACAAAAGGGGCAACCAGAGTCACCCACATCCATATCTGTCCACCCATTTTCCCACAGAGCCTCTCATGTGATGGGCAGAAGGGCCACTTCCCTTGGTGAGCTCCTCTCCCCACCATCACCCTCCAACATCCACGGGCACCTCTGTGCTGGCTTTCAGCAATGTCCCATGTCCAGGCCCCCTAAAGCACCCCCCGCCTCACCTACCCATGAAGGGAGCTGGTTAGATAAGGCAGATGCAATGTCTCTAGCTCCAGCTGCCGAGACTCCTCTGTGTCCTGGTACTTCAGCATCCCTTCTGGGGTGACCACTTCCTTCAAGATCAGGGGCTCCCGGTGGTAGGCTACTTGGAGACGGAAGACGTAGCCATCCTTAGATGGGAGCAGAAGGTGAAGTCAGGCTTGGTGGCAACATAAGCAGGCTGGTGTGCTACGCTGCACCTCAGGGACACAACAGCAGCATCCCAGCATCAGCACAGTCTCACTATGCTCTTTCCTAGGCCCACCATCCAAATCCTGGTTTTGTCCTGTGGGACCACTGCCACAGTCCCTGCCTGCCTCCTCGGTAACAAGTCTGGTCTGGAGAAGGTCCCCATCATCCTCCTACCTTGTATACATCAGTGTGGGTGACTGCAGGTCTGCAAACCAGCTGGTGCTGGTGCTGGAGGAGCTCAGCCAGCTGGAGGTGGAAAGCCGCCTTGATGCGCTTGATGGCTTCTTTGTCTTTTTTTCCTTCCATGTGGCAGATGACTGTGGACAAAGGGACAGCAGGAAGCCAGTGAACCCCACACAGAAATGAGGTGTTGGATGGAGTTGGCTGGGACTAGGGGTTACAGCAGAAGAGCAGGAGCCAGGGCTCTGCTCCTGTCTATGGCACACCAAATAAAGCCAGCCCAGCCACATGCCTCCACCTCCCCCCACCAAATCATCACCTGCTCACATCTCCTCCCACTTACTCTTCAAAGGGGCTATGTATGCGGGGCAGGGCTTCTCCTCCGAGGGAAGCAGCAACTGCTTGGTCCTGATTCGGGTATGGAAGGAATAAATCGGCTTCATGGGAATGGGAGGGAAGACCTGGGAGAAAACAGCCACCCGGAGACTGAAAACAGGGAGCAGAAACTCCAGGGCACTGTGTACCCCCTCACCCCAAACCTCCTGCTCCAGATAAGTCCCCCGGTGTGGGAGGCTTGGCCAACTTATACATGGCCAGCCCCAGGGACAGGACAGCAAAAAAGAGGCACTGCATCACCCCAAGGGCTCTCGGGAGCCGCAAAAGCCAAGAGTGACTAATCTTCTCTGTGCCACCTCATCCCAGAGTCTCCCCGCAGCTCCCCGCAGACGCCCATGCATGGGCTGTGCACAGGGATACTCACGTCTGTGTACCGGAGGGCTGGATGAACACCCTGCACAGCCGTCACTGTCAGCGGCAGCTCCTTCAGGTTCCACAGCTTGCGGCTCAGGTCATCATAGGAGCAGACAACGCTGACCATGGCCTCCTCACCTGTACCCAACGCCTGCGGACACACAGGGAGACTCTCCATTTGCCTCTCCCACTCCTGCATGGACATTCACCTTACCTGCCTCTCAGACCAGCATTGCAGCCAAGCTGTGAGGAGCCAGGACTGCCACCCCAGGGAGCAGCTTCTGACAAGAGCACTCAGCAAAACAGGGAGCTAAGAGAGGGGGAAGCCAAGGGCAAGACTGTCTGGAGCTCTCCAACAGCCACAGGCATCTTATAGGCTGTGTTTCAAGCAGCAAGTGAAATTATTCCCTGTGCAAGACACTAAGGCAGCACCAAGAACTGTACCGCCAGGATTCTCCCTAGGAAAGGAGAAGATAAGAATGATTTGGGGTAAAGAGATCACACACTAGCAAGGTGAGAGCTCAGCTACTGCCTCCCCACCAGTTACCACAATGCCAACTGAGGCAGGAGTTAACAGAAAACTCTCCCAACTAAATCTTTAGCCAAGGCAGTGCTGTGAAGCACAGCAAAAGCAAAGACAGAAAACAACCAGAGCATCACAGGAGCCCTGGGGAGGGTGGATGAGAAGCACTGAAAGGAGAATTGCTGCTGCCCTTGCTGCTTCCACCTCCCCAGAGCACAGCAGGAGAGCCTTGAACAACGAGAAGACATCACCAACACCAAACCACTCAGATCAAGCGCAGCCGAGTCGAGTCGCACATATCCGGCCAGCCTGGGCTTTTCAACAGAGCAGCAGCACCCTCTGCAGGGTGCACTACGAATGACAAACCCCCGTCCTGCCTGTCTCTAGAACTGGCTGCACCACCCATCTTCCCTTATCCCCCATGTCCCTCAGCCACCACGGATGCCCCAGGCTGCCTGCAAACAAGCAGCTGGAGGAGCAGACAGAGACACCCCTACCCACTGCCCCACACACAAGAGCGAGTCTGTACTTCATTCATCGAGGACTGGCAACAATCAGACTCCTAAATGCCCCTCTGGCTCTAGGAAAGTGCATTCCCTCTAAGCGTGGGGTTTATTCACCCTGCTCACCCCAGGATAACTTGCAGGGACACAGCACACACAGATTTTTCTGCCTTCCCCCACAGCAGGCTGTACAAACTAACGTCTCATCCCAAATCTGACATGCAGCTCTTCCCAGACTGTAACTGGTCCTGGCACAGGAGACTTCCAGTCAGATTTGGTCCCCTTTGCTCTTAAAAGGGGGAAAGGAAACAATTTCCTTCTCCATCCAACAAGCAGGTAAAAAGATGGCTTTACCAATGACCAGTAAAGTGGTGCCAAAGTGCTCATGGCTCATCTCCAGGCTTTAGTTTCACAAGCTGGAGAGCAGAAGTAAGGAGGGGGACATTTCCCAGACTCCAAGATGCACCTTTTTCTTTGTTTCAGATGTACATTCAGCTTCTCACTCTAGTGAGGGCTTGGTAGGCGTGATCTAGCACTTTGCAGCATGACAAGAAAGATCCTTCTACGTTTCCCAGACGGGCCTATGGTATGGATGAAGGCACATGAGTGTCTGGCCTATGTCCTGAAGGACAGAGGACCTGAAAGGTGCAGCCAGAGGAGCACAGTGGGACAGTGATGCACCTTCAAACAATGTGGACATAGTGGACACAAGCAGAAAGAGGAGGCCAGTGGGATGCTTGCAGGAGAAAATGGGATGTGGGGGCTACCAGAGCAAGAGGACTTCAGCAGCTATGCCTTGGCTGACACGAAAGGCTCAGCAGATCCAAGGAAAACACCACTGTGCCTACCCAAGCACCCGCAGGCAGGCATCTTCCTTACCCTCACTTCCTTCTCTTGGGAACCATCTAGCTGTCTCGGGGCCACAAAGCTAAAATGACCTTCCCTTAGCCCTTCCCATTCATCCCTTCTCTGAGAGACCACAGCTTCACTGAGGGACCAGCCGTACCTCTTTCCCAGTCCTGATCACAGACTCCAGCAGGGATCCCGTGTAGCAGATGGAGGATTCGGGAATGTCCATGTGGCTATGTGGAAGAAGACAACAGAGCATCAGCGCTCTGACACATCAACCCATCCATCCTGATGCTGCATGGTGCACCCACAGGCAAGGGTCCGTCCGAGACCAAGGAATACCTCCATACAGGACAGCCTTGGGGAGGAGACCAATCTGTGTGTTCCTCCCATGCCCAAGTTATCCACCAAAAGTAGCTCAACAATTTGTTCAGCTTCACAGGGTTCAAAGCTGAAGCTGCCAACGTGCAGCGTTTCCTTACAAGACCCCTGATTGAGTCAGGATAAAGAGGTCCAGGCAATCCCTTTGTTCTGTGCAAGAGGATCTCATTTTTGGCAGAAGGTCTAAACTGCTACACAGAGAGGCTTTCCAATGCTGCAGGGTAACCTAACCTTGTGAACCACTACAGGGTCTCAGAGGACTTCATGAAACATCCTGCAAGGTCCAGAGGGCTTCTCTTCCAGCTCTGCCAACAATGAGTGTCCCAACATCCCATCTGCATGTAAGGGTAGGACCACGCTTCCTCCTTGACCTTAGCACTGCCATCAGCAGAAGCTACAGCACCTAGTACTTGCCCTCCCCACATTCTCTTGGGAAGCAGGTCACAGCATCAGGACCACAACTGAAATGACTTCCAGATTTCACAAAGCTGGAATAACCCACAAGTTCACCCAAAACACGAAGCTGACAATGGGGTTACCAGGGATATGGCACAAGCCAGGAGAGCAGCAGTGACCCCATACAGCCTCAGGTCCCCCAGCTTCGGCTGCTGCTATGCACAACTTACAGCTTCAGCAGGTGCCTGACGATCTGCTCAGGAATGAGGCGTTTCTGGCAGATGGTGTCAGCCTCCCACACCACCGCCTCGCAGATGCTGCCATCCTGGAACCGCCGCAGCTCCGACTTCTGCCCCCAGAAGGTCCGGAAGTCCAGAGCCTAAGGCAGGAGGGAACATTGGCCAAACCAGGCCAGGGACACAGGTCACCACTGGGGCCAGCCACACCATTCCCATGACAGCCAACCAGCCCCACAGCCATCTGCAACCACAGTGTGACACCAGCTCTGCTCCACCCCACTCAGCACATGCAGGGCTCCCCTCACCTCAGGGCAATCGGCCTGCGGTCCCTTCTCCAGCGTGCTGGCAGCAAACTCAGGGAAAAACAGGAGCCCAAATGTCAGGGGCCCGACATCCTTGTGTTTCGGGGGCTCAGCATCAATTGGCCACTGTGAGAAAATGGGGAACATGAAGCAGAAGGAGAAATGAGATTGCTGGAGCAGCAGCTGCCGGGATATTGGGCTGCTAGATGAACCTCTTGCTACATGCTCTTGGGTGCCTGGACAAAGACAGACAGGGAAAGCCTCATTTAATAGGTCTCCCCAATGAGAAAACCAGTTGCCTGCACCCTGCCCCATTGCTGGGCTGGGAATTCTGCCCAGACCAAGCCTCCCAGGCTGCAGCCCACACCCCAGTACAGGGTCTCAGGTCCTGTACTCCCCACAAAGGGGACAGGCCTGTCTCCTCCCCGAGCAAGCAAAGATCCCCTCCCCATGCCCAGCAGTGCCATGAAGGACACACAAGACCCCACGTGCTGCAAAGGATGCAGTGTCATTGCTGAGCTGCATTACCTCAGGGATCTGGGGCAAGGAGTGAGCCACGAGCAGCACCCTCCCAGCCAGCCCACGGGCCAGCAGAGAGACGACGAAGGGAAGTGCCGCAGCCACATAGTTCCCACCCCGATCCATCAGCTCATTCAGCAGCTGCATTTTCTTGCAGGCACCCTGCAGCTTGGAGACATGCTTCAGGCTACAGGAGAAGGAAAGAAGCTGGTCACCCACCTCTGCCACCAAATCATTTCTGAGACAGATATGCTAGAGGATGGATAAAGTGGGAAGCAGACTGTCCTGGTCCAGGACAGAGGCTGCAAGAAGAAAGACTGCACTTTGTCATCTCAGGATGCACCACAGGAGATGCTGGTCCTTGGAACAGTCATCATTCCCATAGGCCAAAGCACTGCTCTCCTCCTCCTGGGAGACTATCTAGACAGTAAAAGCAGAATGGCCAAATGCAAGAGGCACCAGTGTGTCTCTCAGAGCTAGCAGGGCCACCTCCCACCAGGCAGGTCTGAATCCACCCCAGTCCAAAGCCAGAAGCAGCCCACTCCTCTCTGAACAGGCTCCCCAGTATTAGCCCACCAGCACAGCAAGACTCACTGGAAGACATGGTCAAAGGCTCTGAGCATGGGCTTCGCAGTCATAAGCAGCACCTGAAAGCCGTCCACCATCCGATCATCCAAAATTTCCATGGAGCGCTTGGCTTCAAACTTGACCTAAGCAAGGAGACAAGACAGAGCAAGAGCATGAATGGGAGGGGACAAGGAAAGCAAATCTCTCCAGCAGCAGTCACCAACAGTCTCCTGTCAACCACGGCAAACCCAGCTTCATGGTCACCAGCAGACCCTCACCCCAGACAGCCTCTGTCCTCAGCATGAAGCCAAGCCATCAACAGCTGTTGCTGCTGGCCAGACATTCCCTTCTAATATCCCTGCCACTAAGGTGTTTTTTTTCTGCTCCAAAACAGTTATTTCTGCTAAACAGCTGCTTTGCTTTGCTTTGCCCAAAGGTACCCAGAAGGAGGAAAACAACTTTCCTCCGTCATTCAGGCAAGATAGGCAGCACTACATCCAAGTCTTAAAATTCACTTCTAAGCTTCAGAGTTGGAGATGGATGTTAAAAGCTTAAAAAGCAACACTGAACCCCTCCCCCACATCCAACGTTCTCTTCCGAGACATCTAACCATCCTCTACCTGCCTCAGCTCAATCTTAAGACAGCATCTCAGGATGCCATCACAACCTGCCCAGTACCTGGTGGTATTTGCTGGCAGTCATATCAGCACAGAGGTTCACCAGCCCAGAGGGATCCACAAAGACTACTTCAAATGCCTGGTGGAAGTCGTCCAGGGCAGGCTGGAAAAATAAACACAGTCCTTAGTGCCACAGCGCAGCACAGACACCAAGGCACCACCACATTGCCATCCAGCATCCCTGTAACAGGCACATCCCTGCCTGGGCAGTGCTGGCAACACAACCAGACACAAGCACAAGCCCTGCCCCGCAGGGCTGCTTACCACAGAGGCATCCGTATCCTTCGCTAGGCTGATCCCTGTTACACTCAGGTCAGTGGTGGCTGTGGGCAGACAGGAAGGAAGAAGTCACACCACCATCCACAACTCCAACTGTTGAGGGTGGTACAGCTATGTGCCAGTACCACTGTGGTCTCACAACATAAACAGTGCTACAGTGTGATGCTGGCCTCCACCACTACCCATGCCTCTGCAAGTTGTTCCATCCAGCCCTGCTCTGCTGCCTCATCCCCTTTTGTCCATCTCACCCACAGGGTCTCAGAATCAGAAGGAGAATTCCCCCTTCTCCCCATCATGTTCAGGCTTCATACAGAGACTCTGCTAACACCAGCCTTTCCCTGGAAACTCACCCAGGAACTGCAGAGTGCTCCTCAGCACCTGGTACCCACTCATCATCTTGACAATCTTGCGTTTCATCAGCAGGTAGGCAACCAGCATGGAGACCAAGAAGCCGCTGAAGCACCCCAAGCCCTGTGAAAACAGAGGGTTGAGTCAACAAAAGCTCAAGAAGGCACCACAAGCCCCAGAGCCCAAGCCACAAGACTGCTTCTGGCCTCTGTTATCAGCAGCAGGGTAGCCCCCAAGCACCAACCCCACCAGGAAGACACTGAGGCAAAGCCCTGTACCACAAGCAGAGATATGGATCCCCTTGCAGGAAGGCAACACCTCAAAGTTCTTTGGAAAATGGGATGAATTCCCCCACCCAGAAAAAAAACAAAACCAGAAAACCCACTACATCATTCCAGGGATCTCAAAGAAGCACAGTTGTCCAGTACACACAGACTTACTGCAACCCACAGGGTAGGATAGAGCTCCTTGAAATCTAACAAAACTCAAATCAGAGTCACGAGCCCACCACCCTTCCACCACTAGGAAGGTAGAGAAGGCTAAAAGCAGAACCTGCCCTGTCCCCTGGCACAGGACATACCTTGCTGAGCTGCCGCTGGTTCAGCCAAACTTTGAGAAGGGCCAGGCCATCCTTCATGCCTGGGAAGTCACTGGCTGCGCTAGACAAGAAGTGCAGGTGGGAGAGCAGCACCGTGTCACAGAGGATGGAGTTGTTGTAATGCGGGGTTGGGGGCTCGGAGGCTCCTGTGTGGGGAGATGACAGTACATTGGACCCAACCACAAATCTCCTGTTCACAGAAAAGGGCTGCAGCAAACCCACCTCCCAGCACTGGGTGCAGTCTTTGGCTGAACCGAGCAGTCTCATGTTTCCCCAGCCCCAGGCCCTACCTTCTTTGGGGGTGCTCTGCTCCATGAACCAGGCTGTCCGGACATTGTTCTTGCTGGGATAGAAGCGGCTGAGTTTGAAGAGACCCGGGACAGGACAGGCATGGAGTCGGACAGTAACCATCTTCTCATCCTTGCCTGTAAGCACCAGGGGATAGATGTGCAGGAGGAAGAGATGTCAGAGACTGAGAGACTAACCTGAGAAAGCAGGGAGCATCCACAGCTTGAAGAAAGGAAAAAGCTTCTTCCCAGCAAAGCTCAGCAGCAGGCAAACAATAACTCTGAAGTCACATTGTTCATGACTATCTTCCTCCATCCCCGCTGGCCAGATGGTTACCCAATTTGCTCCCCCAGCACCCTCCTGCCTGCCTTGACCTTGCCACGCTACTGCCTGTCCCAGATCCAAACTCGCTATTGCCTTGGGTCTGTGGAAACAAGCAGCACCCAACAGCCCACGCATGCCACATCATCTCAGACAAGAGCCAGGCTGCTCACAGCTGCCTTGGGACAGCAAGAGGATGGTGGGGAGAAGGAATGAGGAGAGCAGGGAGGAAGACAGTGCTAGACACAGACATCTTTTGTATGGTCTGCTTCTGCTTTACTCCCTGAAGTACGCACAGGGTAGGGCAGCCAGCAAGGCCAAGGCTAGGGAGCCCAAAGAAGCTGCAGAGGAAGATCAGCAACCACAGGAGGGGAAGAGACCCTGAGGACTAGGGTATGTGAAGGAAGAAGAGAACTGGGAGCATCTAAACTCCAAAATTTATCACCAATTATGATAACAGCCACAAATTGACCCCTCTCCAAAGGGTCTGTTGTGAGACCACCACCACCACCCAGCTAATGCCAGTACCAATTCACACTCCCCACCAGAGAAAAGCTCAAGTACTACCTTGTGGCCTCAGGAGCAGGATGGGCTTAAGATGGTTGCTATTCATGTAGGCAAACTTCACGCTGCCAAAGAGCTTCTCCTTGGAGAAGTGCTGGGCAATGTGGGCGAGGTACAGAGCTCTCTTCCGGTGGTAGCGCTGGTTCAGGTTATCTTTGTCCTGGAAGATTTCCTGGGAAGAAAAGGACACAGCAATCCCACCTCACCTGCCTGCAGAGCCCAGTTCAGTCTGAGGCACTACACCACCCACCATTCCACCTGGCCCCACAGGCAGCCCTATCTCAGACAAGTGGCTAGAGCCCCAAGTTGCTCCAAGTTTGTCAGGAGCACTACCTTGCTGTTGACTCCCCAGGCTCTAGGATCACAGAAGGCAGAGCAGAGCCATGCAGCCAAACAGGGCATGCCTTCATCTCAAACCCCATTACAGCAAGTCTGGGCAGCAAGGGGAGGGAGCTCAAGGGGTTAACAGCCTGCAAACATCACCCTCCCGGTAACAGAGACTTGGGAGCTGGGGCAGAAGTGCAATGGGGTACAAAGCTGGACAGCATCTACCTCCCTGGCAATGTGGGAGAGCTTCAACCCAGGCAGAGAAAAGGAAGGTCCTCATGAGGAACTAAAAATCAAAGCAGCTGAAAGCTCTGATTACGCGAGCAGTGAGATTGCACTCCCCAGCTCCTCAGGGGATTCACCACACTGCACGTCCAGATGCCGCAACCTCACTCAGGAATGGAGAGGACAGGGCAGGGGCCACAGAGGATGGGAGGGGACGGAGCTCAGCTGAGCCCCAGGCCACTCGGGAGCAGGCACAGCCAGACTCACCCGCGGCATGGTCACCGCCACGTCCACGTTGATCTCTGGCTTAATGCAGGTGCCCAGCAGGTAGCTGCCCACCACCTTCAGCTCAGCCGGGGGCAGGAAGTGGAACCTCCCCTTCACACTGAATGGCACCTGCAGGAATGGGACCTTCACACCCTTGGGGAGCCAGGCCTGGTCAGTGAGCTGAAAACAGACAGGGCACACGAAACACTCTTAAGTATCACCAAGGGCTATCACCAAGAGCAGACATGCAGAGACCAGGATCCCTCTCCCCACACAAGTGCAGGCACCTGCACCCAAGGCTTAAAGATGGAGTGTCCCTCTCTCCCTTATAATATAAAGCAAGCTGATATTTTTTTCAGTCCCTAAGGGAGATATTCCACAGGGATCTCTGCTTGTACAGCAACAGCACAGCCTGCTCCATACAGGGGCCTTGCCATCTCCTCCATCCCTCTGGGACATACTTCAGTTTCTGGGGTCTCTGGGATGGCACTCAGCAGACTGCTAATTTCATGGAGGAAGGCATCAATCTTCTTCTTCTTTGTCTCCTTCAATGTCACCTCCTTCAGAAGCTCTTCAATCTGTAGGGGGAAACGGGACCACAAAAGGCAGCTGCAATGCTGGAACTGCTCCTGCCATTCACCTTGTCCTTCAGTATCAACCATGAGCCTGGTGAAAAGGGCAGCAGGTGAGCTGGGTAACAACACCCAAGTCTCTCCAACAACCCTGCCCAGAGCTGAGGGTCTGGTCAGCCCATGGGCAGAAGGATAACACAGTCCCTGCATTCCTATCAAGTGCCGAACAGAAATCAACTCCATCCCACCAACTCCTGTGTGAGGCCCAGCCACAAAAAACAAAACTGGTGTGATTCATGAAGGCTTTGCTCTCAGAAACATTTCATGCATGGTAAAGTACCAACTCCAGGAAATGACCTGGTAGACCCTAGAGATTCTGCCACCAAAACCAGAAGATCTTCAGGAAATCAAAGCCACGCCTCATAAAATCACCAACGTCACAACCACAAGAAGCCATCTAGTCACCACCCTGACCTCCCCCTAACACAGACAGTTTGTACCCAGAACGCTTCTGTCCCATCCAGAAGCTGGTCAAAGACAGGTGCTGAGTGCACCTGGTGATGTTACCTCCTCACCCCGGTAAGTAATAAATCATGGCAGCAAAGTATGCAATGGTTGCGCTTTCACCATACTGCAGTTATGTGCTGCAAGGGTTCAATTTTAATGGTGTAAAAGAGGCACAAAGCCTGGCGCCGAACGTTCATAAGAATTACGATGGAAATACCAGTATTAGGCTGGGTGCCTTTAAAGCCTGTGCCTTCTGGCCTTGCTCCTAGGCCCAGGTTTACCGGCTCAGGAGGGCTCAAC